TCAGTCAACTGCTGAGCTGGGTGACAAGTTGGATAATATAGATACTTGAAATCCCCCTAGCTCACCCATGAGGAGGTGCTCTACAAAGAGTTTGGAGTCCTCATATCTATTATCAGAGCCAGCGCTACTCTACAAGCAGGCTGCTTAAGGGCGCCGTGGGGGGAAGATGCGGACTGGCAGGGGGGCTTCTTTAAGGTGGCCGTGGCGGCAGTGGCGATCACATCTCTATGCGCTCCCTCTCTCTCCTCCCGGCTGCTGCAGCTTCAGCTCCACAAAGCGGGCATATCCAGCACGTTATTAATCTGAGTGCCCCACTCAATATGGCCGCAAGCGACAGGCATTCTGAGCGGGGCAACTCAGATTAATAACGCCCGAAAGATGTGGACTGGGAGGAGGGCCTCTTTAAGACTGCTCTGACTTTAAGACTGCAGTGGGGAGAAGAGAACAAGAAGCTTGACTGCCATCGTCTGTGCCCGCTTCAATCTGGCTCCTGGGAGGTCACAGCAGTTTCCTCCGCTCACCTCAGCTGCCATTGGTGGGAGAGGAAGACTGCCGAACTGCAGTTGGTTGTCTTCTGCTGCGCGGGAGAGAGAGCACCTGGAGCCGGCTGAACGTGTAGGAAACCATGCTGCTCCCCCCACCATCACCAGGAGAAGAAGAGGACAAAGCAACTTTAATTCCTTGTACTTTCTTTGTGACCTCTGAACTGCGTTACATACTAAACGCTGACCTCTGAACTGTGTACTGACCTCTGTACTGTGCGTCACACCCTGATCTCTGTACTGTGCATCACACCCTGACTTCTGTACTGTGCGTCACACCCTGACCTCTGCGTCACACCCTTGACTACAAGTGTGGTGCATAGGCAGCCGTCTTAGGGCGCGTTCGTGGCACCTTTGCAGGCAAAAATCCTTGCACCGGCCCTGTCTATTATCTTTTCTTTAATAAAATGGACCTTTACCCCCTTTCACTAAAAATCACATCAGTATACAACTCTGCATGCTAATATGACATTTTCTAATTTATCATTTTACATTAATTAGCTAAACAAACATATTTTTATTTTATTTACAATTTCTTTTTTTCCACTTCCTGGTCCACTTTGGCACAAATTATGTAATCGTGCCCAATTGTTGCGTCCTGAATAAAGCAGAGATCTTGAATCTCTGGCCATAGGGTTATAGAGCCACTTTCAGGAGTAGTACACCTAGGCAAAAAACAAAAGTACAGCCCCTGTTGGTGGTCACCCCCTCCCCCTGAGTTTGCTCACTTTTTGGTCTAGCATTGAGGAGTAAGATCCTAAGCTCCATGCTGGGAACCTTAGTTTCCTTTCTTTTTGCAGGGAATACTTCCTTTTATTTTTTTCTTCAAGACCTTCAGTCAACTGCTGAGCTGGGTGACAAGCTGGATAATATAGAGCCTAGTAGTCCCCCTTGCTCAGCCAGCGAGCACGCAAGGAAGTGCTCTACAAAGAGTCTGAAGTCCTCATAGCTTTAAAAAATGTTTTGATCTGCCTGTTATTATAGGATGTTTTACATTTTGTGTGATAGTTAGTAGTGTATTATAAATGAATAAACTGCACAGAGGTACAGCTTCAAAGCAAACACTCAAAAGAACAATAAAACGAAGCTACAAAGCAATCAGTTTAAAAGGCAGGACATTAGGTATGCAATTTTCTCGCAGTTCACTGACAGTGATACGAGTCAATAGAACAAAACATCTCCATATGTTTCTTTCCCCTTCTGTGTTATATTATCATTATCACCGTCTTCTTATAACAGCTCTCTGCATGTTTCTAATCCTCTGTCCATAACATATCGCTGACAGCCAAATTCTGGCACAGAAGCCAAGCCATTTAAGCCTTTATCCTCTAAATAATTAAAACTGGAAATACAATTAGAATCTATAACCATAACAAATAATCAAGTATGTGGTGTAAGGCTGTAAGCATCCTGTAATTGAATTTATCTCTATCTGTCTCTCAGCAAAAGCAAAACATTGTTGAAACAATTAGAGCTGCAACAAAAAAGATACTTGAGGGATACACGGTTATAAGGCAAGGAGTAATATGACAGGTAGAAAAGGCTAAAATTACTTTTTGGACCATGTTTCATGTTACAACCATATTCAGAGTGTAACATGAAACATGGTGTCGTCTACACCACTGCCACCCATTCACAGATCCTTTAAGAGAATCTGGAAAGGGAGGTACTACAAGTCCCATCAGCCACTTCAGCAGAGGGACTTGTAGTTCTCCATGGAATATAAGTGCTGTGATGTCACCGCGCATGTAGTCCATTCATTCGTCCTCCCTTGCGTATTACTGAGTGTCAGTACTGAGGTACGGTCAGGGACAGGAGGGAAAATCTGCAGGAGCATTACACTCATTATCCACTGATCACAGTTGCAATGCTTTACTGGTGCCAATGCAAAAAAAATAATAAATGCCCATTTTTTTATTTTATGAATATGTTTGAAGTTATTATTTTTTTTTTTAAAGATGGACTTTACCTTTACCAACTAATCAGCAATCATGTGTCATTATATTGAGTGCTTTAAAGGCTATGTTTACTTTTTAGACCATGTCTCATGTTACATCCATATTTAGGGCATAACATGAAACATGGTCACATCCCCAGATGCCCATCCCCAACCTGACCCCCACTTATATGAAATGTGGGGTTCTTCTCCTGGCACAATGTGATTTTGCCATGCCTGTGCATGGCTTCACCCTCAGGATATGTGAATAGAGAACTAGGAGACATTCAGACAACATGTTACTGTATATTGTTTTTCCTGGCCTTCTCCTTTAAATGAATACATTTATAATGTGTGTGTAAGTTCAGTCCTCTATCACTACATGCCAGTTTCTAAATGCAATAAAAGCTGTAATGAACCTTTTTGTTTTCAATAAAATAAGGGTAGAGTATGAAGCTGTCTGCCAGAAACCGGTTCCACATCCTTAATAATGGAGAAAACAAAAAATTGTGTTAAATGTACTAGTCAAACAAGTGATTACTTTGTTAAATCTTCAGACGTTGTTCACCAGCTTGGAAATAGGTCTTAATAATCACATTTCTGAGCTGGAATGCCAGTAAACACTTTGTTTAGGGATTACGTGCTTTGTGCGGGAAAAGATGACTCTTGACTTGTCTGAAGTGGTTTTAGTGCATATTTGTCATCTGCAAATGTTGCCATGGCTTGTTTGTTTTTTGAAGCATGTTTTCTGTATTTGTAAGGTAGACAATGTTCTTTAAAATAGACTTCCTATAGGAAAAGGCTGGACCTAATGTTTTTTTTTAAAGTTTTGGGTGCAGTGGGCCATCTTTAAGGGTTTGTTCACACCACATACATGCGTTAATTGCACGGTTTGCAGTGCAGTTGGAAACTGGGCTGCACTTGCAGCCCAGTCAAGTGCATTGCGAGTGGGAGATGCGTTTGGGGTGCCATTCAAATGAATGGCAATACAAAGCACCTCCTGCACTTTATTTATGCACAGTAGATGTGTTGTGCAGTAGCGTGCATTAATTGCATGGAACCATGTGATTAACACATGCATGATGTGTGAACAAGCCCTCAAACTATCTGTGACTGGGAAATATACTCCCGATTCTTGTCCTAGGGGTGTCATAGAGGACATTTGTGCAGACAGCAGCACTTCCGGAATTTAGGGATCTACACTTTCTGGCCTTCTGGATTTTGGGGGTCAGTTTATTGTAGATGTGGGTTGGATGTGTTCTGGGACCCCCTTTGAGAAATACACAATGCTTTGCCATCAATCGGTGTTTGTACTTAGGCAGTAGTAGAATAGGGGACCTAAAACTGTTTCTGGTATAGGGGTTAGTGGCATAACTATAGCCATAGCAGCCCAGGTGGCAGATATTGTTTTACTATTTTTGTTTCCTTACTTTCTCTAAAGTCTTGTGAAATCTTAGACTTACTAAGGTTGAGGAAGTAGGGGATCACATATCACAATGCCAGATGACTAGGAAGCCTGGTTTTTCTTAATACTTCAGTGTTGTCTTAGTTCTCATTCACGTTGGCAGCAGAGTTTATTGCCCCTCTGAAAAGCAAAGGGGCAGTAAACTCCATGTTTATCCATGGTGGATTGCTTTTCATAGGCAGCTGAGTGGCAGGTTGCAGGCATTCAGGAGGCAATGCTGGTGCCTACTAAATGCCTGCTTTTTTCCTGGTCCCAAGGGGGGCTTTGCATAGCAATACTGTGCTTGACAAGCAGTTGGATCACGGTCTCATTGTCTTCAATAGGCATGTTTAGCCATTGGCACCTCCTGCCAAACATGACATATCAAAGCATTGTGGCCACAGCAATGTCATCCACTTGTTTTTCATGCCACTTTTGCCACCTGTGTGAATTCAACCTTAGTGCCCAACTACAGTAAACTTCATAACATGGTCAGCAAGGCTCTGTACATCAGAATGTAGTTCTTTCACATTTCAGCTGTTTTTTTTTTTTTCAAAACTGAGGGGGACAAAGTAGGTATATATGTTGTAGATATATTTTAAGGGGTATATTTTATATTTATAAAGCAGTAATTGTTACATTCACTAAACATTCACTGCATATGTATCTTTCTGTTGCAAGTGATTCAAATCACAGTGATTGATTTACCTGCAGTGAATATGCCTATAAATCTTATGTCCTTGTATACGACTTAGCAGGACAATAGATGGACTGAAATATAGGTGTATATTCCTTAACTGGACAATAGCATCCTTTAAAATGGAAACAGAGAATGGCAAAACTTCAGCATATATGAGAAAGGTCATTTCAGTCCTAATATACTGGTGAATACCTGTCCATAATAGTCCTGCATTGATATATTTTAGTTTTGTTTATGTTACTATTTGAACACTATTTCACAATCTGTCTTGGATGCCTATTTTCCTTCATAAAAAAAAAAAAGTCGCACAATCAACAGAAGTGTAGGCATGCCCTCTGGACTTAAATTTTTCATTCTTTTGCTCTTGGCACTCTACAGGGAGGATTTACATAAAGTCGATGTGATGAACTATTGCCAGCAGAATGCCAGCCAATGCTTGCGCTCAGGGGGCCAGAGGAGCCGCGACGACGCTCTGCTCTGGCAGGTGCTGCTGCAGATGTGTCGGCAAAATGGGGTACGTCGCTTGAAACACTACAAATCTGCCTCCCATTAGCGCCGAACAAATGTCGCTTTGCAACATCCATGGAGTGCTGTTTTAACCTACATTTATAGCGCAGTCGATCATATATTATGTAAATATGGTTCTCCTTAATTAACATTATGCAGATTCCATTTATGCAACGTGGGCTTCAGCCAACAGTTCTGGCTTACAGTAATTAATTGCTTTGTTTGCATTACAGCATGGAGGAGATTGGAAGAATTAAACCGACGATTGGTTTTTAGTTAATGTTTAACGGATGTGGCATCTAGTTTCTACCAATTTTCGTGCCTTTGCAGTTAATTTTATTTCTAATATTTGAAATCAGGACACAGTTTATCGAAAATAAAGATTATCTGCAAGACTTTTCTGCTTTTCAAGAAGCAGGAGAGCCATGGGTGAATGCTATGACATTGAACATAGCAATCATTTACTTTCTAGTATGAACATTAAATGTTCAATCACACATATCATGCATAACAAAAATGGCGGGTCAGTTGACATGCAGTGATACGTGTTTATGTGCTTTATGCAGTGTAGTGTGTTTTTATGCTCATTTACACCTGTTGATGTGTTTTTATAATGTGTTTTCCCCATTTTCCAGCATCACCACTTCCTCGGTTGATTGTTTATTCAGTTTATGCACGATTTACAGTACATGTGCTCATGTGTGTTGTGAAAAATGCAGACATGCTGCATTTTTCCATACCTCTTCTATTTGTATCTAAGTTATGATGCGAATAGGGCCCATAGAAATCAATTGCAAAGACCTGCGTTGATCAGGTACAGAAAATGCAGGTCTCTGCACATGGTGTGAACAAGCTCTTAAAGTAATATTAAAGTAGTATTAAACTATCAAACATTTTTCAACAATTCATTCAGGTCAAACCAATATCCATGCCCAGCAAAGTATTTCTTTAAATTTTTGCCCAAGCACAGTCATCATGTTTCCAAACAGCTGACACCAACTCTCTCAGCTCTGCTTTCCTGAATTTCCTGTCCACTACAAAATTGCAGGGGACAGAGCAGTCTCCAGCAGATATAGGAAGAAGGGAGAAACTGGGAGCATTGAGCAGAGGTTTGCTCTGCTGTGCCTGTGTAATTGTAGAAACACACACAGATTACTAGCACTCACAAGGGTAACTTCATGGGACCCTGCAATGGAAAAGAGCCATCCTAAAACAAGATATCAGAGCTGGGAACTTTAATTCTGCAGGACACTAATGTTTTTAAACATCAAGGAGCAGCATCCATTTTAGATAATGTATTCAGCATTTGAAAAAGCTTAAAGGATAATTAAACCCTCCCGTTTTTCTTGCATATATCTACTGCTAGAAAACAGTAGATATATGCAAAAACATAAAAAACAAAGTTGAGGGTTTAAACTTACCTGTGTCTCCTCCGCGGGCTCATGTCCGAAGAGCTAAAGATTCTGGGGCGGCTGCAAAGGATCATGGGGCGGGCGCATGCGCAATACAGATTTTCAGCCGGGAGACGAGGAGAGACACAAGGTAAGTCATTGCAGGCATATTCTGTGGGACAGGAGGTGCCAGGAAGAGAGAGGAAGTCAGCGCTGGATCAGAGACTGGCACAAGCGCTGGAGGGACTCCTGGAAAGAAGAAGATGATCGGATCAAGAGGCATCATTTAAGGTAAGTCTTTACACCAGCATTTTTGGGGGGGGGGCATTTTTACTTTAATATCACATTAATAAATATGCAAAATGCAAGGTCTACTTAAACTGTCTGTCCAACCACACTCCCTGGTAAAATCACCTATTGGTAGGTGATAAAAGTACCTATAAAGAAAAAAAAAGGTTTATGCTTGACGTATTCCCCCATCTTCCTCGTGTGGCACAAAGGAATTTTCACAACATCACGCCCAGCAATGCAGAAGATAGGGGTAAAGTAAATATAAAACTTTTTTTCTTAACAGACAACATTTAAACCTTCTAATAGGAGATGGTTTTACAGGGATTCAGGGCCTGGACACTATAAGCGGACCTTGCATTGCACTGCAGAATCCACTTTAATATGCTACACACAGTAGTCCTTTGGAGTTGTTTTGTTTAATTTATAATGCCCATTACTAGAGAAACTTTAGGAAATCTACCTAACACTTTTCCTTAACTAGCCTCCTAACCACAATGCAGTATCAATACCCTTTCTGTGAAATGTTTTTATATTGATTTGTCATGACTATAATAATTAGGTACACGTGGACTCATTTAAAAATAAAACCTGTTTATGGCCACTCTCTCCTCTTTATGCTATTAGTGGGATGTAATAAAGTGATTGGGCATAAACACAACATCTGAAGGGTGTCACATGCCCAACAATGTGTGATCTTTTATCCCATGCATGGAAGAGAAGTAAGAGTGTGTCCAACTCATTCAAAACTTAGGTGATCATTCTCGATTAGGTAAAGTCTAGGGGGCTCAACTGGCTTGGGTGCTCCAGTGGGGAGATCTTACTACTAAGATGTCTGGCTCTGTGCCCATTTATGTATTATACATCAAATAAAATAAATTAAAAGTCCAGCAAGGAGGGGGATACCCACTTGTAATATCACCACCAAAAAACCTGAGCGATAGAAGAAAACATTGGAGTGTTGAACACCCCACCATCAGCCAAGTGTTGTTAATTCAAAAGCACTTCCGTTTAAATCATTATCCTCCTTTTCCATTAGATCAGAGTTTTTCTGAGTTAAAACTAATGTGCTGTAATCCATAATAGCCAATCAGCATGGTTCTAGGTAAGATCAGATTGACAAAACCAGCTGCACACCAAACATTCCCAAGTTCCCAAGTGAAAACCTCTCTGCCCAGGAAACTCTGAAGGGTTTCCTTCACAGATGGGCTAAAGCTCTGTGGATTTCTCTTGGAGCCAGGAGGGAAATCCAGTGACCCTGCGAACAAGCCGACGTGGGGCCTTGATCACAGTGCCCATTGTCTTTTGAGGCTTATAAGTACAAATATAGGCTGACTAGGCTCTAAATATTAAATCACAACATGGGCAAGGGTAATTATCTATTTACCAACCACCTTCACTACCCCTTATGTATTGCCCCAGTTATGACAAATTAATGTAAATATTAGAAGCTTTTTGATGTAAAAAGATTTATTCCATGTCTTCATTTATTGTATATAAATTTCTTTAGTGTATTACTGGGACAGATGTGGCAGAGCTATTACTACAAGGCTGTAAGCGGGAAAGGTATCAGAATGTTCAAACGGACAGTGACCTCATCTCTCTTACTGAGGATCTACCTCTCATACCTGATGGCACTCAGGTAGACCTTCTGACTGGGGAGGCCCCATCTGCTACCGAAAATTCGGCTCGGGCTGTGGAGAAGTTCACAAAGTTGTTGTTCTTTGGCCGCAAAAAAGCAAGTTGTCCACTTCGCAGTATAGGCATTCTCCTCGTTTCTCACATCCTGTATCAGTTTCCAGCTTCTTACCTCACTGCCTGCAGCAAAGTCTGCCTTGATGAATAATTTTTCCAATAAAGTTCTGTTTATGGTTTATTTTTAATTGGCACGCTAAACCTCTTTTTCCTTGTTATTGTAAACACTCTATACTGAATTTTCTTCTAGACCTTGTAATGTTGATCCTGTGAGATTGGTTCTTAATACATATGGCTGTCTTTTCTGATCTTGCATGATCTCTCTTATTGAATAAGATCAGTATGCAGTTAAATCTCAGTAGTGTGTTTCTGCTAATTGTATTTGTCTTGTTTAATACCCAGGAGGCTCTAGATTGGGCAATGAAGAGTCAGCTTTGGGGTCATGCACTCTTCCTGTCAAGTAAGATGGATTCTCGGACATACAGTTCGGTAATGGCAAGGTAAAGGGTATTTTAACTAATCTGCTATCATCCTTTTTTTTTTTACTAACAGCCACAGACAAGAAAGAATGGTTATAAGCAGCAATTTAATAGCAGAAAAAGGGAAAGGATAAACTTGTTGTGTGGAGAAATTAGTAGGAATTTCGCCTAATTAGAAGTAAGAGAGGAGAAGAGGCTATAAGACTGGTGATTACTTGTAAAGTATCTAGTTGGATGAGGACAGATAATTGATTGGACATCAACTGCACAGAAAATGATTGAATAAACATTGCATTCCGGGTTGGGAATTGATCAGGCGTTACTTGCTGATAGGCTTAACCTCTCAGCATGTTCTATCTCATCCCATTTCCTCCACAGTATGGATGCTAATTTACTACTAATAATGGTTTTGATGCTGTTTTCAGGTTTACTAGCACTTTGGCTCTCAATGACCCTTTGCAGACACTTTTCCAGCTTATGGCCGGGAGAATACCACAAGCAGCGTCAGTAAGTAAGGCATCAGGCTGCTGATGCAATGATTATAGCAATCCATTCCATGAAGTAAAATCATTTACAAAAAATATTGACTCTCATAAAAAAATAAAGATAAAGAAAATTTCTAAAACCAGTACGGTTAAAGCTTATGCCTGTCAAGTGCAGTTTAAGAGTCCAAAGGGATACTTGCATCAAAAAGCAAGAATATATACACCACTGAATCTTTATGTACTGCAAAGATTATTTGCCTTACCATTTTTACCATACAGATATTGTATTACATGTAAATGTATTGAATTGATCCAGGCAGAGCTCCTTCCAGGCACTGGAAAACTAGGTGATTGCCTAGAGTGCTGCTAACTGGAGAGGGCACCACAGTCGAATGGAAAATGGCAATCTTACCTTTAAAGTGAATGCCAGGGCAAATACCTGTTGATCTGCCAGAACTGCACTCAGCTCCTAAGTCATGTTGTGGGCTGACAACACACAACACTGAGCAGTGTCAGCCCTGCCTAGTTGTCATTTGCTAAACTACTACTAAACTACTACTTTCGACAATGCTCTGCAAAGGAGACTGGCCTCTTTATTGACAGCACTTGTCTCACTGTTGCTGCGCTTTCCCAACGCCAAACAAAAGCACCCTTCTAGTTATAGTTGCCTGCGCTGATTCCTATGATAGTGCACAGTGGCATTTGCGTACATACCTGTACAGCTACGTCTTCAGCCAGCCTGTCATTGATTTGTACAACCTGGTTGTATTGGTTTGTGACACTTATATGGTGCACTGTCACTCACGGCAAGTGATATACACTGGGATGTGTGCGGTACAGTGTTCTTGCCGCTGTATGCAAGAGCCCTTAAAAGATCATTTCATTAAAATAAACATCCAGTAAGAAATATACAATATAAATGAGTACTTACTGTGTCTACATTTCATTTTTGCGTGCATTGTTAAAAAATTTTTTGGGCCCATGGTAATATGGCTTATGAGCATGGTGGACACAGGCTAGTCATTACACACACTACAGATAGATCGAGCAAAGAACCCTCCCACAACTGGAAACTCAGGTGTAGAAAACTTCTTTGTAACAATTAAAGTTTGCAGTTCACAGTTAAGAACCATCAGGTACAAAAGACCTGATATGATATACATGTTGCTGGCCTGAAGCAATACAATGATTGTTTCAACGACAGAACCTTTCAGAATCGATTGCACTAAATGGGCAATTCGATCAATAAATTAAGGTTTCATCGAAAAGGTACTGTTGGAACTTCTTGCACAGCCTCACAGAGAAACACAAGCACACAGTTTGATATGCATGCTGCACATGGCTTGAAAAAACAATAAGGAAGCCACAGCTTTATTCTCTACCTTTTTCAATACAACAGAGCAGATACCATAGATCAGGGCTCAAAATTTCAAGTCCTAAGCTGCTAGCCAGGCCTGAAAAGTTACTCGCCACCAGTTGCCCCACCTAACCCCTACCCTGCCCCGGCCTTAACTCCGCCAGGTCAGCGGTGTGACGCAGAGTATAAAGATCAGTAACAATGCACAGTACAGAAGTCAGTGGTGCAATGCAGAATACAGAGGCCAGCTGTGTGACGCGTAGTGCAGAGGTCAGCAATGTGGCGCGCAGTGCAGAGGTCAGCAATGTGACGTGCAGTGCAGAGGTCAGCAATGTGACGCGCAGTGCAGAGGTCAGCAATGTGACGCGCAGTGCAGAGGTCAGCAATGTGACGTGCAGTACAGAGGTCAGGATGTGACGTACAGTACAGAGGTCAGTACACAGTACAGGGGTCAGCGGTCAGTATGTAACGCAGTGCAGAGGTCACAAAGAAAGTACAGGGACTTACAGTTGCTTTGACCTCTCCTCCGGTTGATGGTGGGGGAGCAGCGAGGTTGCCTGCATGTCCAGCCGGCTCCAGGTGCTCTCTCTCCTGCGCAGCAGAAGCCGGCCAACTGCGGTTCGGCAGTCTTCCTCTCCCACCAACGGCAGCTGAGGTGGGTGGAGGAAACTGCTGTGGCCACCGAGGAGCCCAATCGAAGAGGGCACAGACGATGGCAGTGGAGCTTCTTGTTCTCTTCTCCCCGCCACCGCAGTCTTAAAGAGGGCCCCCTCCCAGTCCACATCTTTCAGACGTTATTAATCTGAGTTGCCCCACTCAATAGTGGTCATATATATGGTCATGTTGAGTGGGGCACTAAGATTAATAATGTGCTGGATTAGTCTGACCCAGGGGCAGACTGGCAATTGCCCCCCAAGCCTCTCTGATACCTTTGCAAACGCCCCCCACCGCCGCCATAAGCATTTAATCTCTCCCCTCTCGGTCGCTCTGCTGCTGCAGCGGCCAAGAGGGGAGAGATGAAGTCCTTGCCGTGGCGGGGGGGCGTTTTGGGGGCAATTGCCACCCTGCCCCCGGGCCTAGTCCGCCCCTGGGTCAGACTAATCCAGCACGTTATTAATATGAGTGCCCCACTCAATATGGCCGCAAGCGAGGGGCATACTGAGTGGGGCAACTCAGTTTAATAATGTCCAAAAGATGTGGACTGGGAGGGAGGGCTCTTAAAGAATGCTCTGATCACACTGCTGAACGATCACCTCTTCTCCCGACCGCTCCAGCTTCAGCTCCAGGAAGCGGGCACTCAGAGAGGCAGCTACGATCACACCTGTCAGCGTTCCCTCTCTCTGCTCCCGGCCGCTGCAGCTTCAGAGCGGCCAGAAGGAGAGAGAGGGAGCGATAACGGGTGTAATCAGAGCCACCTTTCTGAGTGGAGCTCAAGCGGCCGGGACGAAAGAGAGGGAGCGCAGGGAGCTAGCTCCGGCTCTGGATGGCACACTACCGCCGCGGTAAGCGTTCGCTTCTGTTCTCTCTTCTCTTTCTCGGGCTCGGCTGCTCTATAGCTGCAGCAGGCGAGAAAGAGAAGAGAAAACAAAAGCAAGCGAGCGATTGCCGCGGCGGTAGTGTCCCATCCCTAGTCCCGCCGGCGAGGCACCATTGCTGACATTCCACTCGCCCCCCGCAATTTTCACTCGCCAATTCCGAGGGGGCGAGTGGAAATTTTGAGGCCTGCCATAGATATATAACAGAACTTATAAACACTGCCATCTAGGGACCGAAATTGTATAGCGCAGAAGTTGTTGCTATAAACACAGTAATGTGTATTCGGTGGTACGGTGTGTCTCATTGTAAAATCCAATTGTTCTCTTTCTTCGTTGAGTTGAGTAATTATTTTTTAAGAAAAGATTGCTCAAAATGATATCTGTGATCGATCTTTTGTTTATCATTACTTGTTGGCCCAGCATTAGTTTACTGCCAATTTCTAACCTTGCTTGAATTATTCAATGGCAACGTTTGCAAAAGTGATACTCATGGAGATTTATGATTACCGTAGAAAACATATTTTCAAATAGAGAAGTTTGTAATAAACTAGAGTCTATTTTTCCTAGAAATTATGACTGTGTAAAATCTTGGCGAAAGGTTTCCTTTAAAAACACAATTATATCAATTTGCAGTGTTTTGGATTCAAACAGCAGACATTAAATAATATGTTTTGCATGCCAGGCACCAAGTTTTTGAAAATCCCAAGGTGACGAAAGTACTCCTTAATTATATTTACTTGGCATGGCGCTGTGGATAACACAGTTCTAGAAGTACATTGGAGCACAGATGACAAACACATTTAAGAAAGCCAAAGATTGCTGGGTTCACTTGAAAGATACAAAACATTGCCTAATACTATTTAGACTTAAAAAATTTAGCCTGTTTACTGCTAAATATGTCTTTCAGAATAAAAGAGAATACTTATTTAAAGTGCACCTGTCAGATTGGAGGCAGCCATTTTGTTTACTGATATTACTTTCTTACAAATGCATTCAACTGGTGGATTAAAGACCAATTGAAGCTGAAACAAAACTTAGTCAGATACATTCCACAGTGTACAAAACATCTAAATGTACATTTGTTACTGTAATCCATAGTTATTGCTCCCCAGCACAGCCCAAAGTCTAAGGGCAGCAGCAGTTAGACTGTGAACAGCAGTCTCTCTGCAAAGGCCCCACATATGTTAAAACATATCAATAAAAACAGTTATGCATTCAGTAAAAAGTGATTTAATATAACTTTAAATATAACTAGCATAAGTGCCTATATTTCTACGATTAAGCCCAATAGAGCTGAAACATGTTAGAGTGGGCAGCCTCCAGTCTCGATGTGCTGGACATGTCTTGCCTAGTGGATTCAATCTTTCATTATCGATGGATCTATGATGTGCGGCTTCTTTGTGGGGCTGTTTTGAAGCATGGACGGCTCCAGCCCTAAACCTGTGTTTGCCTGAGAGTTGGAGGCTTGGCATTGGATGGAGCAGTAACATTTTCACACTGCATAGTATAAGTGCCTAGTAATCATCACTGATTAACAGCAGTAGAGAAAAGTCAAGTCACCAACTTAGCTCTGCTATCAGTACAAACTGCATGATCAGGAATACAAATCCTATCAAGGCAGAACAGCTCCTACATATGTATTTCAACTGAGCATTAAACTGTAGTTCTGCTTTAAGAATACCAGGTTCTATAGTCATAACTATGACTGTTATATTCAAGGTTTGATTTTCTGAATAGCCAAAATAGACCATGGCCAAGGGTAAATGGGAAGCGAAAGGTGGCACACATTTATTGGCCAGCAATATACTTTCCTGAAAAGTAATTCAGACTCTTTATAAAGACTCTTTATATCCACATCTTATTAAATTACTGTATGTAGACATCTAAGTGGTTTATTTATACACAATTCATCCTGAAAAATTGAGATCGTATTTGTTCCGTGCAAAGGAGGCAACAATGTGCATTAGCATATTTTCAATGTAGGTTGAATTGAATATCAAAACTGCATTATGGCCGCTAAATGGAGCTGAGAAGCATAGGAAATAATTATATAATTCATATGCTCTTCACCTCCATCTAGTGGTCAAAATGCAGTATTGACCTGTAACGAAAGTATACTAATAATATTTGTTTTTGCCTTTATTCACACAGAAAGAATGTATATGCAATTTTGCAGGGCAAATGGCTCTGCAAATTGTTCTTAAACACATCCTAAGTGTTTGTATAAGGGAACTAACATTTTCAGAAGGAGAGGTCAGCCTTTATATACCTCCAATGATAGTTTTACTGACAACAACGGTTCGGGATGTTATTTACTGTCCTATTTATTAAGTTAATGCAAAACGTACAAAAACCCATAGCAACCATTCAGAGAATAATTACTGGTTTATTGTGATGGGTTTGAACATTGCACATGCTTCCTTCCCTAATAAAGTAAAGAAGTCCAAGCTGCCATGATCAAGTATCATTATTCGTCAGCATATTGTACATTTCTCAATGTTGTCATAATGTCTGTGTATGTATTCATATAGCTTCTTTAAAAATCTCTATTTACTTACAACCTATTGTCACAGTGGAATGGAGATTCAAACTGGGGAGACTGGCGACCTCACTTGGCTATAATGCTGTCCAATCAGATGGGAGAACCCGAGGTGAACAAGCGTGCTATTGTTACCATGGGAGACCATTTAGGTAAGGAAGTCAGTCTAGTGCAAAAATACTCTAAATAATGTTCCATCCTCTGAAGTTTTTTATCCCAAATAAAGCCAGTTTCATATGATTTCCTCCTGTTGGGGTTTCAAAGCAACAAAGTTATCATTTGTAACTGGATTATATGGAAACATGTGTAAACTGGAGCCTGTGCAAGTTTAGATAGAAAGACATTTTTATTCTGTCCAAGCTGTCGTGGGAGCCAAGTTAGTTTTAGACAAAGTGGGGCTGTGGACAAAACATAATTTGGGTCCCCCTAAGCTAAAATTCTGTACATTGTGTCACGGATATCTGAAAAGAACAAGGGGCCTAAAGCAAATGCAAATGTAGTAAAACATGTGCTAATGCACTATAATCTACAAGGCAAATAGTGATAAACCTTTCATGGCTTCTTCCTGGTGCAAAGATGGGTTCTTCCCCAGGCTATTCCCTGGTCAGGAGTGGAGGTAGAGCTCCTTGCTGGAGTCCATGACAGCAGTAAAAACTGATAGAATGCCAATAAAATCTGATATATCTATTTTGCATAAAGTAGGCCGTTAACATACCCTTGGGAGTCTATATAAAAATATATAAAATGTATATATAAAAATGTATATATATATATAAAAATATGTACTGTATATATAAAAATGTTTTTACATTTCATACAAAATTCACTTAAATTACACATATTTTTCCAGCTGAATCTAATTAGAAAAATGAGTGAATGCTGGTTGAATGCTGTGTCAAGACATTTATAAAAGACCCCTTAAATACGATATATACAGCTGAATTAATAGATTATTTTTTGAAGGTGTTATCATTTAAAACACATTTTGTGTCATTCTCATTTTGTTCATTTGTGTATCTGTTGCATACTTCATATGGTTTAAAACAAAATCCCTTGATATATTTTTGTATATAATAAGAGGAAGCAACATCCTGGGTTTTCCCATCTTTAACCAGTTGACATCCGCGGTGTTAAACCCCCTTCCCATTCATGCCATTTCAGATGGGGCAGCGGATCCCGGGATTCAAGATGAGGGGTCAGCGGGGGACAAAAAAAACACGACGCAAACGAGCACATATAGGCGATCGGCGTGCTATGGACCCACTGATCGCCTATATGTGAAACAACCGGTACCGGGTGTTCGCATTGGACGGGTCTTTTCTGCCCGTGCGTGCCCGCTAGGGGGCGCGCGCGAGCAGAAAAAAAATGCCGTCTGGCGACGGCAACCCGCCAATGCAGCAGTGCCGTCTGTCCGTTTTTCTACTACGGGCGGACGGCAAGAGGTTAAAGCCCTTTAAAACAAAAATACATAGCTTCAGCCTTATCAGGAACCCCACTATTTCGTTTTAAGAGCTCTGTGAAATCTCTGTGAAAGCTAATTAGTTAAACTCTGACCTCAGAAACTATTCCAGACATACACAACTTCACTGAAAGGCCACTAGCCTCTTCTGTGTGTTCTCTGCAGAAAGAGACGCTTCAAAACTGCTTCTGTAGCCATTCTGACCCTAGGAAAACATAAAATACCCTGGAGGATAATTAACTTCCTGTATAGGTTGCTTGTACACATTATTTCATTGACTTATGGTACACTGGATTTGTATTAGCATTTTTTATAAAAAAAAAAAAAAAAGGCAATTTATTTTTAAAGGTAATCTGTACTGAGGGAAATATATACAGTATATAGGCTGCCATTGCTGAACATCAGTAGTTGCCGGGCTATCATTGTAGCTCAAGGTCTGTGACAGCCAGGGACATCAGAGACAGTTAGATAACTAGCATTTTTTAGAAGGTGTCAGCAATGGCATCTACTATACATCCAAAAGCATTTTATAAAATGTTTACATTTATAAATAAAAGTCTACAAAAAAAAATTCTACATAAAAAATGTGATATGTGTCATCTACCATACATTTCTGGCTACATGTATGTCTATCTGAGTGATGCACTTACAGTTCAAAAGACCCTGTTGCCAGAACATTCATTTTAACAAGAATGTTCCCATTGTATGTCCATTTAACTTATTTTAGGCATGTTTTTTTTACTTAGAACCTACTTTGTGTAGCTATCCAAAAGCCCTAAGCATCTAAAGCTGGCACTACACTGTGTGGATGGAGGAATCTCCGACTGGGCCAAGCTTCAGTATCTCCTGTAATGCAGGGGCAGGTTACTTCGATGCCACTGGTTGCCAGGGCCATCTCCAGAGAGGCCCTTGCTATCAGAGGCCAGCATTGTCACACAAAACTCCATCTCTTTGCTAGCACCATGATAGGTCAGATGTGCTTAAACCGTCTGAGCACACTGCTTGGCAATAGCAGGATAGATTTCAGCGGGACAAAGTGCTATATGCACTTGGCCCCCAGTGGATAAAATAAAAATGTAAAATTTTAAACAAATTTTATTTAAAATACAATTTTTAATTTTACTTGTTTAACTAACAGCATATGCAGATCAAAGGTCAGCCCTATAATCTACTATTATTGAAACATAGTAATTACAATGTAACAGCAAAAAGTTTTTGTTACATAGCAACTCTTACTGAAGCTGCAGACTTTGTTCTGAGTGTCAAGCCCGTGACACACTGCACATGCAGTCGCAGACATTCACGTGCAGTGTGCGAGAGCTGAGCGTGGTGAGATGAAAGACTTCATCTTTAGCAAATCGGTTTATGTGTATGAACTTAGTGGAATTTGCATCCTGGCGCATAAGCCGCTTGGCTGAAGATGACATTTTTCACTTCGGCACATTCAGGTATGTGAGAGAAAATTGCAAGACACACTGCCCGCGAAGGACAGTGCGCCACTGCTTCCCTTTGCTCTGCGCTGCTTCACGTGCAGTGTGTCATGGGCTTCAATTAATGGAGGAGCAGCTTCAGCAGCTAGCAAGCCCCAAATGTCATTTGCTGTTAATTAGAGCCAGGGAAAGTTACAAGCTGAGCATTTTAGTGTGCTGGCTAGTGTGTTCTTTGCACATACTATATTGTCCGTGCGTGTGCAGCATCTTGTTTGATATTTTGAAAAGCCAATATAAAGGCTGGGTTTTACCAATCAATTTTGCCATATGAAATCTTAATGGGACGCATAACAGGTGGCAATGCATGAGTGTGCCCATTGCCTAAATACATTGTACTGCAAGGTGTTCTCATCATAGAAAGTTGCCTTGAAAAGAGTGAAGCCTGAACAAAAGATCAAGATTCAGTTGTACATAGAGCTACATGAACTCTAAACATAACGTAGTCCCACCAGTAATTGATTAAAAATAGAGAAGTCTCAGATTGTGACACATTTCTAAGACTTGTAGATAACTGGTACTACTGAGGTGACTCAGTCTCCTTCTCCCATATTGATCGTGCAGTGTATACACATATTTTAGGTCTTCTGAATAAAAGCTAGCACAGAAGAAGGTGGAGGTGTGGCCCATACCAACCAATCGCAATCTAGCTATTATTTTACCACTGTAATTCAGAAGATAAAAGCAAGCATTGGTTGTTTAGGACATCACGCCTTCATTCTAAATGCTCTATGTTTATAATAATGCTTTCCTTGTGCAGATGGGAAAGTAATGTAATTAACAGTTTCAATACAAAACATGTACTAAAATTACTTTGTTTTTGCAATATTTAGTTCTCAAAGGCTTCACAGAGGCTGGACACTGCTGCTACCTGACAGCTGGCATCCCTCTTGGCCAGTTCTATGAGAAGTCAGACCGTCTGGTTTTGTTGGGCAGCAATCAAAAGTAAGTCTTAACTTTCTTTAAGAGACTCCCTGCTCTGCCTAGGTCTATTCATTCATCTGTGGAATCCCTTAATAGATAAAAGTAGTGATTGCTGTGTAATATTTGTTGTCACATTGACAGTAAATAAGTCCTCCTCTGTGGCTCAGAAATGGTGGTCATGCTGGAAGCTAGGCATATTAAAGGCAGCTATAGTTGAGAACCAGCCTCTCCCTACTTTTAAGTTAATTGCTGAGAGCTTGGATTGCTACAGACATAGCACCAATCATGTAGCTTTGATATAATTTTTCTTACACTGGGAACCAATAAATGTGCTGGCCAAAAATGACCTATGTAGTTATTTTGTTTTCACTATGTGTGGTTGAGTATGTACTGGAATTGCACTGGTTTCCAGAAAATGGGAAACAGCAGGCCAGACCTAATCAGGCTTGAGCAGGGTTTGCCCACAGCTATAGATAGCAAAAACAAATGAGGGGCTGGTTTCTCCTATGTAATTCATCCTATACCAAGGTAAAAGAAAAGTAACTTTATGAGACACTGTCATTGTTTTAGGGCTCACAGTTGGCTCAAGAATCCCCAGTATTGGCGGATGCCGGATTCTAGAAGAAGCAGTAATGTCACTCTCTCTGTCATATGACAGTGTTTAGGCATGGTAGTTGGTTGCTAGACCAAAGTACTGTCATATGAGATGAGGTCATATGTACCCCCATACCTTGAAGTACTCCTCACCTGCTGCTTAAGACAGTTGAAGAAGTGACAGGGGGGCGCTGGCAAGAAGAGTATTTGTGGTTCGAGGAGGAACCCCTTTACACAAACAATGGCAATTTGCCCTAAATGGGCAAATTGATGGTGTCTATTGAATGAAAATTTACTAAAAGTACAAAGCCGTCATTTTTCTAGCACTGAAGAGATAGTGAAAGGTTCTCTAGAACTTCCCTGGTTGTTAAGGGTAAAAGAAACACTTCTCTCTGTCATCTGTTAGGACCCCTTCACACCTGCACTCTCTGTTGGCGTGTGTTCCCGTATGCACCTTAATATGCAGTATTTGCATGTTATCAGGCACGGTGTTAAGGCAGCCCATTTATTTTAAATGGGCTGCCAAACACATGGTAAGGGACAAAAAACTGGAACTGTAGCATTTCTATAACACAACACACCACAACTCATGGTATGTTTGTTTCAGTACACTGCAGCATGGGTCCGTTGGCACCTAATATACTAAAAGCACATTTTACCATAATGCAAAAGAGTGAAAGGAGCCTAGATTCTTGGTGTAGGTACTGGAACTTCACTGGTTAAAATGTAACACCTAACCAAATGACATTACATAATTTTTCTAAGACAGTCTAATGTTTGTACTCTCCTTATATGTACACCATTTCAATACTAAATCCAAGGTAAGATTAGACACAATGGTTTTTCCTAGATTTAATAGACCCATCCCATAATCTGTCAAATCCTTTCCTTGCCGGACTGTAGTGGAATTGACCTTATGGAATGAGATCATCATTGGCTCCTGAATTTGCTCTGTCAGCACAATTATTAATCATACAAAATAATTAGGAGAATGTTGTACGGTTCACCAACACGCAAATGAAAGCTTACAAATGGCCAAGTAAATACATGAGGGATTTAAATATGGGTACAAGCCAAAGTCCTTGTTTCTCTCAGCTGGCCCATTCATCACAGTCAGGTGTCTATGTTGTTAGGCTCCGTGGGGGCATAATTCCACATTATTGCTCACAACTCTATTTTGGGCTGAATCCTACAAACAGCAAACGGCTGGTTTGGGTTCTTTTCACAGGTGTATTCCCATTCATTCCAGCCAAACTTAGATCAGATAGCAGGTTTGTATAATACGTGAGTGGGCATCAAGGGATTTCAAAGAGAAACAAATGGTTTTTTGATTATATGAGCATGAAAAGCACAAAGCACAACAAGCATTTAATGCTCTGGAATTTTCAGACATATAATACAATCTTCAATAATAGGAATACAGAAAAAGGCATAGCTTACATATCTGAGGTTTCAGGTAATGTTTAGAAAACGTTGTATTCTTTGTCTGATTTACAAAAACTTGAACTGAGAAGACAATTGCCCTTAGCAGGCAGTAATCTAAATGTGCTCATAGACCCTGAGAGGGGCTTGGATATGTTGGCACAATCCGAATTCTTAGACTAAAGACTATGCATATCTTTTGGCTAAACGTATGTGTTTGTCAGTGGAGAGGGAAGGGTAGCATTGGTTATCACTGGGGAAAACAATACCAATGGTAGTGGGTTTTCTGACCTTTCTGACCAATATATTTCCATGTAATAGTGCTGTTGCTTGGTGATTGGCCCGGAGCTGTCACATGGGGTTGGGGAGGGCTCTCAGTCTTCTGGAAGCTCTGACTGGAGTGACTCAAAGCTTACACACAGCTGCCTTTTTTACTGAACAGAGAAGCAAAGGAGAGGTAAGCGTGTGCAGCTTGGTGGTGGTGGGGGGATGCAATAAATAGCACCTGTTGCTGTACCCTGTATAAGTTTAGAGTCAGAGGCGTAACTAGAACCTTCAGGGCCCCGATGCAAGAAGCCATGAAGGCCCCCCCCCCCCCCCCCAACCGCCATGGCATTGCATGGTGAACAGGAAGGCTGCCGAGGTCCCCAGCAAGCGCGGGACCTGAGGCAGCACTTGTTTAAAATGTTAGTGCCGGTGTTCTGTTGAGAACGCCGACCCAGTGTCTGCGTTTACGTACAGGCGGGATTAACGAGGAAACCGCCATTTATTTACAAAGTATTCGTTTGTAATGGTTAATTGTGACCATTAATGATATACCATGCATGGCAGTAAATGGTGGATGGAATATTATTAACAGTCACAATTAACGATTTAAACAAAATACTTTGTGAATAAATCCCGGTTTCCTCGATAATACTGATAATACTGAAAATGCCCAGTATTGGCACTGGTGCATCCCTACTTAAAAATATAACGCATTGCTGGGACATGTAGTTCTGCATAGTTGGTGCTATTCTGCATTGCTGTATAATCATCATACAGCAATGCAGAATACCACCAGCTATGCGGGACTACAAGTCCCAGCAATGTCTTATAGTGGGGGGGGGGGGGGCTGGGGGTATTCTGCATAGCTGACTTTTATTATAATGTATTGCTGCGACATGTAGTCCCGCATAGCTGGTGGTATTCTGCCTTGCTGTATGATGATTTTACAGCAATGCAGAAGAGCACCGACTATGTAGGACTACAAGTCCCAGCAATACATTATAATAAAAGTCAGCACTACAGAATATCATCAGTACCCCCCCTCCCACACACACACACTTCCCCGAGCCCCCCCTTCCCACTCCAGACTTACCTTTCCTCTCCTGCATGCAGGTCCAGGGCCCTCTTCCTCATCTCGGCCGGGGCTAAGAAGAGAGGGTCCTCACACAGCAGAATGTGGTGCCCTGCGGTGCCTGCAGCACATTCTGCGGGACTGCTGACAGCCTCTCCATCCCCGCCGCACAGCTACCCGTACATTCTGCGGGTGGCTGTGCGGCAGGGAAGGAGCGGCCCGATCTCGGGGGGGGGGGCGTCTTCTTCCTCACTGGGCCCCCCAACTGGCGGAACGCCAGGGCCCAGTCGCAATTGCGACCGCTGCGACCCTGGTAGCTCCGCCAGTGTTTAGACTAGAGTAAATCAGAAAGAAAAGCCCAGGATCAGAGCATTGCGTACCATATGGACCAGGGTATATATGAAGATCTTGTAATTGCTTGTTACTAATTAATATTAAAGCCTAAGCTGAGGCTGTTGAGATCACATAATTAATTTGGCAAGCTGCCTTTTATTTCTGTAGCGGATATACAGTATATACAAAGGGGGGAATTTTTCAAAGCTGGAGCAGACAAAATCTGGAGCAGATTTGCATTGCACCCAATCAGCTTCTTTGTCTCATTTTCAAATATTACATGACCAAACTGAAGAGACATGCTGGTTGGTTGCCATGGGCAACTGCTCCACATCTGTCTGCTCCAGTTTTGATAAATTCCCCCCAAAGTGTTTCTTGTAGCAACCAGGCTTTTTGCCCCATTTTATCCAAATAAAACAATGCAAAGTCAAAGTAACACAGTGTTCTGCCCTCACAGGGGTTGTCATGCTAAATAATGAACACAAACATATTTCAGCCTCCTAGCTATTTTGTTGCACAGCTTTATCTATCGCTCCTTAGGGGCTTGGTCACAGTAGCCTGCTGGCAGAAATGCTCCATGTGGTGTGACAGCTCCGTTGGGAGGTGGCGTGATACACTGTCTGAGCGCATCACACTGTTCACTTTTTTTCTTTACCTTAAAGGAGAACTATGGGGTCAGTGTTTTTCCCCATAGTTCTCCTTAGGGTAATGGGAGGACACAAACCAGCGTCCTCCCGTCACCCTACGCTCAGTATACCGTGAGCTACAGCTCGTGGTATACTGAGACGCCGCAGCCGGAGCAGATCCCGACATGGACGTTGAGATCCGCCCAGCTGCGTGAGTGACAGCTGGCTCTGCCGTGACAGGATCGAGAGGTGAGCGAACCCGGTATGTGTTTGCTCACCTCCCGATCTACTGAGCTGACCTGTGACAGTCTCATTGTCACAGGTCGGCTAGAACTATGAGGTGAGTGGAAATCACTCATCTCATAGTTCTCCTTTAATTTACAATGTTCAAACTGTACACTCCATTCAGGTCCCCGCACTGCATTGCTGTTTACTGCGCTGTGGTGCAGTGCACTTTGGTGTGGTCCAGTGTGCTGCAAACAATGAAGCATGTCTGTACATTTTCGCAGCACACTACACCATGCATCATACCCTCATTGTGGTCTAAACAGGACACATAGAAACAATTGTTTGTTTATGACTTCTAGTGGTGCCTGGCATTGTTCAGTTGATGAGAGACACCAGTCACTGTGTATAGTGTGAACAAGTCCTTAGACATAGCTGCCCCACTCTCGTCATCCCTGATGTACTGGCTCTTCCATTCACCAGACTGATCTGTTGCTTGCTCACATACAGACTGCCACTTGCGTGGCTCAGAACCACAGGTCTGGTCAGTGGACTGCTTCCAATTTTCTCAGATGACAGTCCGGCTCGGTGGCCTATCTTTGTAGACCAGACAGGCCTGGACACGCATCCCCTTTATGTCAGACTTCAAGCTGCTCTTGCAATACATAGGCATCATTAATTACTAGGAAATGCTCTCTTTTGTGAGCAACAACCTCCTGACTTCAATCATTGCCGGTCTGTCACAGTTTACATACTGTATACTTTAAGGGTGTTATTTATAAACAGTGACTTTCACTACTCAGTGGCGAACATTCAATGGTGGAGAATCAATTACTGCAATTTAAAACGTATGAACCTGGAAGATTCACCTGTAGTGAATTTTTGGTGAATGTCAGACTTACTGCTTTATAAATATATTTATAAATATGCTAAGTTTAAGTGACCACTAAGATGGGCCTTAGCACAACATAAGATCTATTTTCCTTTTTCGTTGTATTTATTGCATCTGCCACATTTTGATAAACATTAGCAAAATTCTTTAAGTGAAAGACCCAACTGGCAACAGAATTGGCTGCCGTTCAGCACTTACTTAATACGCCAACACATACTTGTAAGCAGTTACTGCTCATTATTGAATTCCAGTTGTTACAATCTCGAGTCTTGCAACACAAGTTTGCAATTGTTTACTGAAATCCCTAGATTTGCGTTTTTAGAATCATTGTAAGAACAAAACAAAAAGAAAGAAAGAAAATCTTTAGCTGAGCAAATCTTTTTTTCATTTAACCACTGGAGGGCAATGTTTTTCTATAGATTTCTTCTTTGTGAAAGGATAATGGTAAAGGTTTTCTGTTGTATTTGTATTTTTCCAATTGTAAAAGTTCTTCTTTATTTTCTGTGTTCTTTTGGTTCAATTCACTCTTTCCAATCTCCACCTTACCCTCCATGCTAGTAGATGTTAACTATCTTCCGTTGATATCTTTCAGCCAAACGTTTAGGAAGTTTGCCAGCACAGCCAACATCCAGCGTACTGAGATCCTGGAATACTGCCAAAGTTTGGGAAAACCCAGCCGCTTTGTTCCTTCTTTCCAGGTACCTGCTACCATTATGACCTACAAGATGGGGCGGTTTATTCTGCATGTGTCCCTTTAGTATGTATTTTCCAGCATTTCCCCCCTCCATCCTGTTAATTTCCTGAACACCTAGTCCAGATCTTTTTTGTTTATGTCCATGTCCCCATTTTCCGTATGTGACTAACATTGAAGGCTAATGTTACAATCTAATTGTGCAATCCCTGTACAATATCCTTTAGATTTACCAACAGCTGTATAGTGCAAAGGCCAATCTATTTAATGTCCATAAGCTAAGCTCCTCATACTGCATAGCTGTCAGTAAATCTAAAGGATATTGTACATCGAAGTGTGACATGTGCAGCCAGCTTAAATCATGGATGTAGGATAATGGTCTGATCAAAAACGTGATGACCTCCAAAAAAAAAATAGCGATTCATTGAGGTGGAATTTTTGGCCTGTTTTTCATTAGATTAATTATTGCATGCAAAGTTTTTAAAACCTGGGACATTGTTTTGATATTATCTGTTCATACCTCCCACTTTTCTGAGATGAGAAAATGGGAAACCTTCCAGCACAATGTATTTAGTCAATGGACACACCCCTGCCATGCCAGGTTATGCCGACCATTAAGTCTGCATATTCCAAAAAAGAATGGTTAAACCAGAACTGTTGTTTTCCACCAATATATTTCCTATATACTGGCTTTTCGGAATAGCAAATGAGAGAGAATTAAGACAGGATGTAGGTTTTAGTGCAGATTAACACTTTTGGTAGTTAAATGGTACATTTTCATAGATATCTGTACATTAGGCCAAAAAGACAGACAACTGAGGAGGAAAAATGGAGAAAGAGTTTTCCAAATAGGGACAGTCCCTTTTGAATGGACAGCTGGGAAGTATGCCTGTCATCTTTGCATATGTGATGTGTAGACATTCAGACCGAATTCACATTTATACAGTGTGGCAACATTACCATGCATTACCACAAAATATAAATGGGAATTTAGCCTGAATGTCTACACATCACATATGCAAAGGGGGGCAGCAGGCAGAGCAGCATGTTTGTTGGATAGTGGCCCCCTTTCCGTCTAGAGCGTCCCAGGTTGCTAAGAGCCAGGCAGATTGATGTGTAAGGGCCATACACATTTCCCTGTCCAGCTTTTATCAACCTAGGACACTCTGGCCGGTGTCCCGCCCAGCTCCTGGCAACCAGTGACATAACATAGTTGCCGGAAGCTGGGCAGGACACCGGCCAGAGTGTCCCTGGTCTGCAGATGGCAGCCTCACTGTTGTGCTCCAACCCCACCTCAAACCCCACCTCAGGCAGCAAAAAGTCTAGGGAACCACTGGGGGGTGCTACATAAACTGACTTTGTGTGTCTGTAAAATGCCCTCTTTAGGGGTGTCAGACAGGCTTTTTCAGCAGAAGTTGACAATTAAGAAACAAACAAGCTTTGAAAGTTTTTTTTTATCCGTGTGTTCTGGGTGTGACCTCTGCCAAACCCAGATCAATCGGCACTGCTGTGGATCATGGAGCTCATAAGTGAATTACATGTAAGAATTATTCTCACAAATATGATGCTTAAGGTAATTGTAGCCATATTAGGAAACTTGCAACAGCATGATTGAGTACTGCCCATGATCTTTTTTTTTTACATTTAAAAAATCTGCATATACAAACACAAACACATTCACAGAGGTGAGAATGATCATAAACTATTTACAGTGATTTAGAAAGGCTGGAGTCCACATTTAAACCTTTCTCTCTTGTGTCAAACAGAATTATCTTTCGTAGTTCAAAAGGTTTTCCTTTCCTCAGTATTTTTAAAGTTCCGTTCAAGAACCAAAACATTAATGTCTTCTATAGAATAGTCTGGTTGTGAGAAACGATGTCCCAGAGGTCTTCAGTAATCACCTTCCTTATGTTCTTTTATGATGTGTCAATATAGATTCATTCTGTTTTTGTAATTGCTGTCTTCTGTCACCATTGTAACATCCCTGGTTGCATGCACGTGTTGCATTGAATGAGGTACACCACAATAATGGAGGTACAACTGTATGATCCAGTAATATTGAAGGTTAATTTTGTGTGTGACACTTTCTAATGGATTTATGTTTTCAGCATTCATTGTTGTAAGATTGTGTTCCCTTGCTTGTGTCCCTTTATTCCGAATGAGGTTTCCTGCTGATTTATTTATGTTTGAGGTTGGGTTGTTTCATAACAGGAGGATGAAACACTGAAATCAATCTCCAACAACCGCCAATGCTGGCATTCAGGCTATCACCCAACCTCAGGAATAAATAACCATCAGGAAGCCAACAAGTGAACAAAATCTTCCAACAACTCTGCAAACTGTGCAGCTACATCGTTCCATTAAAAAGTACAGTGGCTTAGTGGTTAGCGCTTCTGCCTTGCAGCACTGGGCTTCCTGTGTCATTGCAAATATGAGAAAACTATGTTAAGATTCCTCATACAACTTTTTTTCATGTATATGTAATCAACTAGAGCATTAATCTGCAGCCGGAATTACTGTACATCATAACAAATGCAACAGTTTTGGTGCTCTTATACACTGCACAGTTTAGTCACATACAGCGCAATAGTACGTTTCTATTGTCGCTTCTGTAGGGAGGCTTATAAACTCCATCACAGGCTTTAACTTAATCCTCATACAATTGTATGCACATATGTTTTTTTGGACTGCCTGTTCATTTCTGACATCTGTTCAAATCTGTCCATAAATTAAAGGAACATTGCAGTCACACGTGAAAACATAGCATTTAAAGTATAACTCCATTTAAATTAAGAAAATCTTTCCATAGGTAGTGCTCAACCCCTGAAGCAGCCGCTGGATAGATTGGTCCCTACTAGCCTGTCTAGCGTTTACTGTTGCATTGCTGCCCCAAAAGTACTTACAGACCCTCCAGTGGTGACGGATAAAACCGATTTCCACGCAGCTGATATGATGCTGATGAACCTTTATTGAAGAACTTTGGAAGAGAACATTAGGGCACAGGACCACAGAATGTAGTAGACTCCAAAAATGATAGAACAAAGTACTTGCAGTCTCCACATGTAGAGAACCTTTAAGCCAACTTGGCAATCTGTGTCTTTAGCTCCTAGCAGTGTAGTACTAGATGTAATAGCTGCTAGACCATTTTAGAAGAGAACACCATGCTTCAGTAACAGATCAACTTCTCAGGCTCCCCATACCTGTTGACGTTGCTTCAACATGCCATCTCCATCCTAAAGCAGCCCTCTACCGGTCCACTGTCCCTGAACCTCCTAGTGATTGGCTAGGGAGACACACCTATTCATAACCATTATTTTTATTACAGGCATTTTATATAGCGCCGATAGTTTTACGCAGAGCTTTACCCAGTACACAGTCACATCAGTCCCTGCCCTCAAGGAACTTACAATATAAGGGCCAATTTAGACAGAAGCCAATTAACCTACCAGCATGTCTTTGGAGTATGGGAAGAAACCGGAGCACCCTGAGGAAACGCACGCAAGCACAAGGAGAACATGCAAACTCCTTGCAGATAGTGACCTGCCCGGAATTGCTAACCACTATGCCACTGGTTGTTCTGCTCTATTGCAAGGTCACACCCAGCAGCAGGCAGATGCAAACAATAACAGAGACCTTAGGAGAAACCAAATGAGCCCAGACTACCAAATCAGGATCAGTCTGAATACAGTCTGACAGCTGTAAATATAAATAGTTACTCCTGCTTAAAGGAGAACTCCAAGATTTTTTTTTATTAACACTTGCAGTAGGGCTACCCCCACACTGCAAGGGTTAAGTGCTTGTTTGTGTCTAGGTGGTAAAATAACAAAGATATACTCATCCAAAGCTCCAAACTGGCCAGCTGTCATGGTGGTCCCTCCAGCCTGTTCCCTACGTAGCACCAGATTGGAATGTTCCTTAGCGTCCTCAAGTCTGTGTACAGTGCATAGACGTGCTGATTTACTTGACCTTAGACTGCTGCAGAGGAGGGAGAGAGACATTCCAGAGACCGGTCTAAGAAGAAACTGGTTCGGAGCTTTGGGCTAGTATATCTTTGTTTTTTATTTTAACTTAGACATATACGAGCAGTTAACCCTTGCAACCAAAGGGTAGCTTTAAGCTTTAAGGCAGGAAGGCTACACACATTAATATCCTCCTTTTACATTACAACTGATGACATAGTAAAGTTTTTCATGTGTGCATGGTATTTACCCGTTGATCCTGCCAATGATTGAAAGAATGGTTTTTTTCCTGTGGAGGGTTGTCAATGATATCACAGCGCCGCTGAATTCACAGCTCGGTTGATGGATCTCCTATCTGTGCCTCTTCAGTCCTGTTATTGGTGATGTCATCATGTTGGTGCATGATGGTTTGCACTCTTGTTTTTCACCAGGGAATTGATAATCCATATGACTGTGAGCAAACCACACTCCTATTTATATTCAGGTACTTCTCAGACAAACCTGCTCTCTATTTCTCACCGCAGTGTGCCGCTTTAACTTGTCCTTCCGCTCACTTTGTTTCAAATGTTCCAAAGTCTGCATGTAAAAAGACCAACCTAAATTTCAAAACATATAACATTTTCAAAGCTGTAGAAGTATCACATTTTTTAAAGATATGTGAACTCCTTGAAGCAAATACAATTAGTCAGTGATCTGGTATTTACCTTTAAAATGAACATGTAAGACATTTCAAAAGGTTTAGTCTGGCGTGACACCAAACACTTTAATGCACTTCAATGCACAAGTTCGCTGCATTCCAAAAATGGTTTAGGTACCTTTTTTCATTCTTTGCAGTGCATTGGGTCATCTTAATGCAACGTGCGTTAAAGCTTAACATACCTCGTGTTAATGCACACATGATAATGTACAGCAACGCAGCTGCACTCAAGGTGGATATAAAAGAAATCTGAGAAATGTGCTTACATGATGGCAAGAGGAGAGAGAAAAATGAGTACTGAGCACTGTGCTGCTGATCCTACATTGTTCAATTCGAAATTGTTTCGGCTAGTGATCAATTTGTGGTGCTGCAGTGAAGATGGAGGTCTGGATGTGCTGTGTGACAGGGGTGCCTGGATTAATGAACTAGTTGTACAAAATTACTTTGGAAAGTAAAACAGTCCCCATATTTGTACATCAGCTGTGTATTTAGCTGCTTGCCTGAGGTTCAGCTTTAAGTCAATGTGTCTGTTTAACCATAAGACTATGTTATGCACAATTTTTGTTGAAACTAGAAGCACACTGCTATGCAACATCAATTGCAGTACCTTAATGTAGTCAGCAGTGGTGTTCTCTCCCTTTCACTACATGGTCAAAACCTGTAAGGCAGGGGCAGGTAACCTTGGCACTCCAGCTGGGGTGAAACTACAAGTCCCATAAAGCATTGCAAGACTCTGACAGCCATGGGCATGACTCTCAGAGGCAGGGACATGATAGGATTTGTTGTTTCATCACAGCTGGAGTGCAGAGTTTACCTACCCCTGCTGTAAGGTACTGCCAAAAAAAAGTAAGGGTAATATTCATCCAGCAGAATTTACTGCTGTCGGATCAGTAAACAATGAATTCCTATTGGCTGCTGAGGGTTACTGCACTTTACGCATCTACACAGAAGTTTGTGCTGCCTTATTGAAGGCCATTTCACGATAATTGAGAGCAAGTAAAGCTCTTTGGCCAGACAATAATACTTAATGCTGTTGTCTTTCATCTTGCAGGTGTATAAATTCCTGTATGCCACTCGGCTGCTGGATTATGGCTTGACATCCCTAGCCCTTCATTACTGTGAATGCATTGCCTATGCCCTCCTCTCCTCCGACTCAGGATCTTCAGTGCTGATATCAGAGTTAATCAAGGTGACTCAGGCTCTTGCAGACATCCTTAGATATCCAAGCTCCAGCAATCTGGCTCTGGAGATTATAGCCCTTATACTGTACAAGCAGAAAAGCTGATATGGCACTTTCCCTCTTCTTTATTTCTATTGCTGTCAATGGGAGTTAACTGTAGAAAACAGGCCATCTGCTCCTCTCCAAATATATAATAAAGCCCAGCGCCTTTAAAACTAAACATTATTTTGGAAGGAAGCTGCCTGCACATTTTAAGCAGAAATTCTGCCATTTCCCTGTTGACATAAAACTTCTGGGAATAAACATTAATCATTAATGACTTCTCTTCTGAAATGGCCTGCAGTAAAATGTGTTTAACGCTTCCAGCTGAAGAACCAGCATTTTCACTTAAAAATGGGAAATGATTGCTCCTGGTCTCTGGGGTGTGTTTCCCTTTATGTGTTCAGACTGCTTGTACTGCATTCATAATGCACATTCAGGCAATATACACTAATAACTACAAATATATTAACCTGTTGTTATAGGTCCAGGTGAGTGCACCCAGAATTTGCGCTAAACAGCAACCATAAGACGTTTTATTCAACCAACGCTCATTTAATGCACAAGGGAATTAGTCTGTTCAGAATAAATTATTGCACTTTATTAAATGCTGGTCATAGACATTAGTGGGTTTTGGAGGTGCAGGTACCATTTAACTGCCAAAAGATTTATTTCATTTATAACATTACATAAACACACATACTAAGAATATTTGCATATGCATATTTATGTCTTTGGATGAGGGAAAGAGAGCAGGCAGACAAACCCTATACCTGACCAATCACCAGGAAAACAACAGAGGTCGCAGAAAATATCCATCGCAGCCAGCCATTGTAGATTTGTTGGTTGAAGGGGTCGGCTACAGTCTGTTGGCACTCACTTGAGTACATTTATTAATGTATTTCTGTGATCTAAAGTCAGCTAATGCCCACTATTGGCTGGCAAGACAGAGCTGCGCCGTGGTCAAGAGGGTCCCAAAAATATTGTCTGGATCCACCCCAGCTGCCCAGTTGACAACTGGCTTTGCCGCTTTGCATGCAGCTGAAAGCCAGAGCAAGCCACGCCCGCCCCCTTCCAGGATTGTAGCTTCAGCCAGTTCTTGAGGGTAGAAAGCGAAAAAATCCCTATTTTGTGTGTGTTGGGGATAAGGGGTCAGTGTCTGACAGTCACTGACCTCTGCTGAGAGCAGAGACCGAGACCTGACTGATCAGTGGTCATGTGATTGGTTAGCTCTTGGTCTTAGAGCCGGTGTTGGACAGCTGGAGCATCTCATGTTGGCTCTATGCATCGGGAAGAGTATATATTACTCTTCCTGTTCTTTTCCAATAACCCCTTCCGAGGAACTGAACTCTGCGAGTATTGCCCAGAAAAAGGCACAGTAGACATAGGACAAAGGACCAGTTACCAGTATTGGCTGTGGTTGCATACCAGATAATGCCCTGCTATTTTTACGGGGTAATTTAAGACAAAATGTGCATTTGCAAGGGGACTTAGGCACAATTAACATTTTCGAATGTTCCCTAGAACATAGCAGATCTTTACTTTTTGAGTTCAGGTCCACTATATAGCGGACCTGTATGTACGATTGACATTTGTACATTAATTAGTATGACACATGCTGGCATAACCAAATTACAATGTAATGATGAGTAAAAAAAGTACCTCTATCTAATCATTAATTAAAAAAAGATGGTTCCTGAGCAACAAAGCCCAATCCAAGAGTATCTGGTCTTTGGCCTCCAGGTGCATTATAGGTATTTTATTATATTTTGGAGATCAGAGAGTCCATTGTTTTCCTAGAGCTCCTGTCAGGAAGATTTGCAGGATGATAAGAGTAACAGCAACACACAACCTGATAATGTTATTACCATAAAACTGAGATTACAGGGCTCTGGGGGAAAGTTGGGTAGCATTTATTTTTAATGCGTGTAGTGCAATCAGAGAGGGTGGGAGTCTAATAAAATAAAATGCTTGGAGATGAGCTTTAACACAGAAGAAATGTCCAAATAAATGTCATGTTCATGTAAAAATGCTACACGTCATTTGAAACTCTCCTGTGTCTAATACTTTTAGCTTGCAGGACGTTTGAGATATTCAGATCCTCAGATTCTAGAGCGGCCTGAGACAGAACAGAACCAGGAACCATTGTGGCTTGTCCAGCTACATGCTTTACTTCTACAATTCCAGGTATCTATTTCCAGGTATCTATTTTAAACTTACACACCAAATAACCCAATGCTACAATTTTGTCATATCCTATAACTGAGTGTCTATCAACAATTTTAAAGCATGTGCCATATTTTAAAAGCCAGTATTAACCTTGTACTCCCTAGAGTGGGTCACTTTATGTCAAGTACTCTTTCACATGTGTGTCTATACTGCCATTAATGCTAAGTGCATATCCAGACAGTCTCTTATATCGGAAAAACTGTCTTGACTTATGATACTGCTGTATTGACTTCTAGTCAAAACAGGGTTTTAAAGCAGCTCAACCTGTAGACCAATATTATGCATTAACTGGGAATCGCTGGTGCTCAGGAAAGGCTCCATCCGTCTCAGTAAGCAACGAATATAACACAGGTTCCAGCACACAGTTTCATGTTCTGATCCTTTATTAAAATTCAAATGAACAGTTCACATCATAAACTCACTAACGTGTTTCAGCCACACATGGCCTTAGTCATAGCTCCGTGACTAAGGCTACATGTGACTGACACATGTTAGTGGGTTTATGATGTGAACTATTCATCTGATATCTAATAAAAGATCGGAACATGAAGCCGTGTGCCAGAAGCTGTGTTATATTCATAGTGACTGCTAGTACCTGCTTTATTCTTCAAAGCAATATCCTTCTTCAAATGCCCATGTAAAACAGGGGTAAAGTCCAGCTTTCCAGCTGTGCTGCAACTACAAATTCCATCAGGCATTGCAAGACTCTGATGGCCACAGACGTGACCCCCAAAGGAAGATGTCATGATGGAATTTGTAGTTTTGCCACAGCTGGAGGGCCGGAGTTTGCCTACCCCTGAGGTAGCGGACACTAGGCCACTCACCTTTGGCCTAGACAAGTGAAAATTCTTGTACTGTTGTCATTGTGACAAAGGGATTGGTGCTATGTTTTATATGGTGCAACGGATGCAGTTTTTGTAAAATCTCTGGCATACACCAAACATGCGTGTCCACAAACATGTAGAATTCAGTTGGGTGTATCTTTAGATGTCATATACAGCCCTCGAGGTTGTGCTGCTCCAGAAGGGGTCAGATCTAAGATGTAGGGCATACATTTTCGTGTTAAATTCAATTCTGGTCCCAGAATACTTCTGCAGTGAATTTGGAAGTTACAATCTCTCTTTATAGCACACAGAAGGGAGGCCTGAGACTCACATGTGCTCTGAGCAGCTAGTCAGGGGTCATATACTGAGCACTGAAATAAGATGTAGCTTCAAGTGGTGGCAGAATCCTCCATTGATAACAGAAAGTTGTGATCCCTTTAAAACTATATAGGAAGGATAGGGGCAGATGTTCTGTAGGGCACAAAAGCTAGGAAGGCTGAAAACATTGAGATTGTAGTTCAGTGTTCCTTGAAGTTACAAACGTTACAAAGACACAGGTTCAACAGGTATTTATCCTGGCAGAAAGTATACTTAGCTTGAAAAAAAAGAAAACTATCACCACATCTAAAAACTGGTATGCTACAATATATGAAATCTTTGTCATTGCGTTTAAATATACTTTATGTAAAAAAAAAACCCCCAGATCTAAATGATAATTTTCATATAGACTGCAATGAATATTTAGTAACTCTGTAAATATGATTGTGTATCTATTCTGTTTCATGCTTTCTGTCTCTGGGGGAGCTGATAATGACATGTATAAGGGAAGCTTGGCTTTTGTCAAATTTGGCATTCCCGATATTTCGGGTGGCACCTGGTACTTGAAAGGCTTATCTGTCAGTTCAGGGCAGGCAAGTATATGTACATCTTTTCAATGTTTCTATTTATATGTTTATAGACAGACATGTAAAAGAGATCAGTTTGATGTAAAGAACCTTACCAGTATGTGCCAATGTTTATAAACCTTGTTTCTATAAATAATTTGTAATCATACACGGGGTAGCCTTATTTGCTCATTAGAAAGATGTAGGTGGTAGGTGCTGGATCTGCAATTAGTTTGCTTCATCAGGGGGAAAATCCATAGTATAGACAATATAGGGAGCTATCTGACCAAAGGGGCCTAAAAGACAATTTGGGTGAACGCTGGAAGGTGTAGAGAAAACAAAATTGCCATGCCAAAGATTTAGGAGTCCAAGAGTATTTATTTCATCATAACTCTCAAAAAAAACAAAATAACAGTGCATTTTGGGGGGCTAGAAGGTACCCGTTTCATCAGGGCTTGAAGAAAGCTGACGTGAATGTGCACTATGTAAAGTACTGTGTAAATTGTCGGCGCTATATAAATACCAATCCTAAATAATAGTAGTAAACTATCACACTTTTTTCAATAATGAATCCAGATCAAACAAATATAAATCACTTTAATTCTTTAATTTTGCTCAAATGCTTACAGTCATCATGTTCCCAAACATTGGCTTCAACTCTCTCAGCTTGGCTTCCCCGAACTTCCTGTCCAGTAAAAGATCAGAAGGGACAGAGAGGTCTCCAGCAGTTGTCTATGAACCCAATGATGGTAAAAAGGAGGAGGAAGGAACTGGTAGCAGGGAAGTGACTTGCCTTGCTGTGTGTTTGTGGAGATACACACAGCCTCCTAGCTCACACAAGGGTGGCTCCATAGGTGCCTACAAGGGAAAGCAGCCACTGTACAACAGGATATTAGGGCCAGTGCGCAGGACACAAGCTGATTTGGCAGGAAACTAAACCTTTTAAACATCAAGGAGCAGCATCCTTTGTAAATTATGTATTCAGCATCTGAAATAGCTTCAAAACCTTTCACCTTTAATATAATTTTAAGCTGTTGGCTTGAAAGTAATTGTGTTACCTACACTTTGCTCATTAGCCAGACTTTGTTACCTGTGCTGCAGTGCAACACAATGGCTGTGCTTTACTGTTTTTTTGTGTAATGTAGGCCTATTTTCAGGTCAACAATGGCAGCCTATACAGTTCTTTCATACCAGGTGTATTTTAAAGCCCATATTCAAAAGACTACCCTTGCTGTAGGGCTACCCCCGCACTGCAAGGGCTAAGTGCTCGTTTTTGTCCAGGGAACTTGAGTAAAGCAGATTTACTTAAGTGCATGTAAACTTTAACAATTAATTTATCTTATTTGCTCATTTTTTGGTAAATGGTAAATATTTTTGGTAAATATACTATTGAAAGCCAGATCATAAAATAGATCATAAATACACTGAGTTCCTAACTTCCTGTATCGAGCTGACAATGTTATCAGCCCTGCCTGAGTTCTACATAGCTAAACTATGCTACGGAGATGAGGCGATTGAGAGGTGTCTGTAGTCTTAAAGTGGACCTAAAAATCACATCAGCATGCAACTCTGCATGCTGATATGAAATCATCTCACATTCATTAGTTAAACAAACATATTTTAATTTTACCTACAATTTCTTGTTTTCTACGTTCTGGTTCTCTTTGGCTCAATTGATGTAATTGTGCCCATGCATTGCATCCTGGGAGGGTTACATCCTGGCAGGGCATTGCTGGGAAATCTCATCTGTAATCTCATGAGATTTCAGGGAAAGGCATTTTTCTCCCCCGAAATGATGTGCATGGTCACATGTCCTAGTCACATATGCCAGAGTTTCAGGAATAAAGGGAGATGGATTATTCTGTCTGTGATTAAAAATGGCCACTGTAAGAAGAATGGGGAGGAAAAGAAAAACAATGTATGCAAAGAATATAAAGCTGGCAATTATCTAGAAGTATGTCTTTGTGGATTGCCATTACTAAACCTGTCTAAAGGTGCCTTTGTTGTTATTTTGAAGATATGGGTAAAGTTCCTCTTTAACACTTCCTAACTTAGGGTGGCATAGATACTGTACAATGAGGAAATGCTGTTTCCAGGTGAAATGAAAGGGAAAAAAAAGCCTTTAAAAACATAAATGCAGTCACAATGTGTATGGACTGGCAAGCTGCAATACATTACACATTTGTTCTTGGGTTTAAAAGAGTGTGTCATGTTTCAGATAATGTTTCATGTTACACCCTTATGTAGGGTATAACATAAAACATGGTCACATTCTCCAGCCCCCACACCCTTTACCTACCTCATTTACCTAAATCATGGGGTTCTTCTCCCTGCAACATCTTCGTTCTTTTTTTGGTATTTTCGTTTAAATTTGATGTGACTGTGTGTGGCTCCAACAGCAAAAAGTTTCCCAGCACACTCACAAGCCAACATGCAAACAAAACCTGTCTAACCGCTAAGGTTAAAAACAGAGGTTTAGATACACGTCTTCTGCAGAATATGTGAAAGCCGCACTGCCTCGTCAAGGCTCCTCTGTGTAGTGTCGTCCTTACTCTAACCTATGAGAGTCTCCATCTTGGAGCACATGTAGCAAAAGATAAAATTGGGTGCAGGTTCGCCAGGACGCAGCCCAACCTCCTTAAAGGCACAGGGACACACAAGGGACCCCGCACATCACAACGGCAGCTGAGACCCCCAGTGTGCCACTGCACCAAATCAGTCAAGCAAAACAAATGGCAAACGCACTCATCAACTGATAACCAGCTTTCAAGCAAGGTGCACATGGAAGGGCTTTAACACACACACACACATACTCATCATCCATTCACATATCTATTCACAGGATTTGTGAATGGATCGACTACAAGTCCCATTTGTTACTGCGGCAGAAGCACTTGGAGATCTCAATGGAGCACAAGTGCTGTAATGTTACTGCACTTGTAGTCCATTAATTACTTTCTCCAGCCCCATAACTGAAGGTCTGTAGGTACCTGGGGCTGGAGAAACAGGAGCCTGTGCCTTGCACCCATAATTCACCGATCATGGTTGCAATGCTGTGCAGGCTCTAATGCAAAAAATAATAAGTGCATATTTTTTTTCTTTCTTCAACGTGTGTGCATTTGTTGTTTTTCCCCAAAAGGTTGACTATGCCTTTAAATACAATATAATACACAAAAAAAATGGAAGAGCAAGTTTGTAAAAATGTGAATGTCACAAAAATAGGGCAAAAACTGCAAAAATTCCATATAAT